ATATTTTCAACCATCGGAAGAACTAGTTCTGTAGAATTCTGGAGGAGCTACCAACTAGGGAGGATATATAGCTAATGTGAAACGGGAAAACCGCGAAAAGTCAACAACCAGGAAAAAAATTTTCCAACGCGGCAAATTCTCTCAAAGGCACATACGACCCCCCTCTCCCAACAGACCGAATACGACCCCCCCGCTTTTATCGGCAAAGTACGACTCCCCATCTGTTTCACACAACGATGGTGGACCCTTTTTCCAATATCCTTGAACCTCCACCAAAACTGAACGAAGTAATGGCCTAGGTGGCTACTTGCGCACAAATGCACTTCCCTCGTAACAAGGAAAACCTTCGATGGCGAATTCTTTCGATAAATGAACTCTTCTGAGAGGTTTAAATGTGTCATATGGGATAGAAAATCTTCTCCTTTTTCCCACTGCTTCGTACTTTGTCCTGGGTCCGACTCTATTAAAGAATGGTTCCAGAAGGGTTGAAAACTCACGTTCTCTAAAAGTTGCCGTGGTTATTTTTGAAGCGAAGCCGTAACATCTCTTTCGTGACCACTTCAATACCGGTGCAATCAAGCCCCCAAGAAATTACGAATATCGTCTACTGTTTTGTAGGACGTTATTCCTTGAAAAAAGTAAGGACTTTCCGAGAATTTCCGCGACGCAGCTGAAAAAAAAACCGCATTCGAAACTACGTCGCTCTTAATAGCCAAGTTTCGCCAAGAAGTAGCGTGGAGGGGAGGGGAAAAACTCATATGGACACTCTTTCTTAAAGTGCAGGGGTCGTACCGACAGGTCATTTTTCCTTAACTTGATGCTTGCTTACGGTAGCCTACTATATATCTCTGGTTCGGACGAAGGGGCGTGTCAGACACTATTAATGTGCCACGGCGCCAAACCCGTTTCTACCAATTGCTGAAACAGGTATGCGAAAGCATTTGGTAGAAAACAGTGACACGAACGATATGATACAGTCTTGTACCTTGCCTGCTTCAACAGCTGGTAGAGCACGGGTTATGCACCGCGCTAAACTCATCCCGCCTGAAATGTCCGCAGCGAACTAAACTATAATTCTTATTGTAAGGTAAACATCCGCATAACAAGTAGGCACATTAAGCTATAATTGAGTATCTATTTCGCCTAATCACTGCGAACTCCAAATTCATCATCATAACGACAATAATATATGTGACAATAATCTGCTAGTGCCTCAAAGATAATCGTTATCATAGCTGATTCAGCAGTACGTTATTCAACGAAATGAAACAATAACATTAACTTTCTTCATACAAATGAGGCTTCAGGTACGATATACCCTGAAAGAGATGGTTAGACATGACATGATTAGAATGATTCTGATCATGTAAGAACTATCGCTTCTGATATCAATGATACAATCAACCAAGAGGGTGAGCCTGAACAAACAAGTAACAAACAAACGAATATGTGCTAACAAATTTCCTAATTATCAAGAAAATCCAAAAAGGCTATTCGCATAAACCATTGGTGGAACCATAGGATGAGGAACAGCCTCGAATGTGGTGAATTTCGGCTAAATACAACACCATGAATGGCGAAGATCATAACGCTGGGACACAACGATCCTCAAAGGAACTCTTGAGTAAATAGTAACTCACGGTGAGATTATCGCCAGTGATTGTTATGAAAGCTCCCTTATTACCCATTTGATCGCAATAATTCGGGGCTGAGAAGACCTGCAACCGTATAGTGATTTGTTTCCTATACTATACTTGCCTGTGTAACTGGCAACAATAGTAGAGGGGTAATAACGAAAAATGATAACAGGCGAACGCTACCACCAAGATGCTTGCTCTAATGGTAAGTGGCTATTTGAAGTCAGGAGTATCGCCTCAGGCTGCGTTCATAACTTGCCACCAGCATTTCGAGCGTACGCTAGCACCAGCGACTAGGAAGTATGACATCGCCCGTACAGCAGAGTTTTCTTCGGTTTTTTTGACCTTGAGCAAACACGAAAACGCGGCTGTACGCTGGTGGACGCTGGCGTTCGCTAAATCTATACCTCCTTGGTCCTCGTAAACACTGACGCAAAGTATGTACGCATTTAAGCATTTGTAAATCCGCTTTCAAAATATACCAAACGATTCTGTAAACAAATCACGCTGGTTTGCTCAATAATTATTTAACCAAGATGTGAGCGACACTCTCATGTGCAAGGATAGCCTTGCAGATAGGTACTTGGTCTCATGTCGGTAAGCCCAATGGTGGAAGGACTCTCAAATAATTTTCAGTGGACTCGTTGTTCTGTTTTTTTTTTCTCAAATATGCTCACTTGACTTTCCAAAAGCACTTCAGCACGGCGGGAAATCCAGCATGGCTGAGGAAAAGAACTGCTTCTGAAGAAATGGAGCCACTCGAGAAATTTCCAAAGAACATATTCTGGCCTTTAATTTCTGCATCATTATTCATAAGTTACTTGTGGCGGCGGCGCCAAAAATGAGCGTGATATTCGTGGTCAGGACCGTTGTCCCGGTCAATAATAGCGAAAATACTTGGTAAGGAGGGCGCCAAGCAATCGTCAAGAAAGCAAGCAGGCGTCAAGAATTGTGTTAACGACATGGATGGACGTGTGAATCAAATGGAACGAAAATGAGTGGAATTATGGGTACCTTCACTTTTTCGAACGTGCGTGAAACCTTAAATTTGGCGACAAACTTTCCCTCCGGATACTTTGAGAACAAAAATAAAAACGAATATCACACTTGGATACGAAAAGCTCGTGTCGTGCGCTACAGGCTCCTGTGAACTCTTGTCCTCTTTGGAACCACAGTCACACACGTTGGTGACAAAGCCAGAATGTGAGCACGAGAATTTCATGAAAAATGACTACAACATTGTTAGGGCAGCGAACTATCCCCAGTTCCACATCTTAGCGAATTTGAGGGTTATCTTGTGCTTCATCTGCGTGCTGAGCATGGGGTTGGTTACCTCAAAAAAACCTGTATATTTTGCCAGAGATTCGTTCAGCCTATACCCATGGTCAAAAGTCCATCAGATGATATAAATCTCATTTCAAACGGCCACTTTCACAACCATCCTTTTCTGGTCAGTTCAATGCGCAATTTCTGAAGGGATGGATGTACCTCTGGTTTACAGACAGAGTCCACTAGCCCAACGTATAAACGCGCTTAGAGACACCGTTGCGATTGCGTGAAGGGAGGCACAAAATGATACTCTTCCAATCCTCCCCAATTTCCATAGTGGAGAAGAAGGCGAAAATCAAGGGAAGCCCCACTGATGTCGTTTGGGAGCTCCGTCCACGCGGCAATCGCGCGCGATTCTCAGTGAAGTAACAAAAACTGAAATTCCTAGTTACCGTGATACATTTGCCATTGTGGTGAACCTCGTAACCTTCTGGTTTCACTTCGTGGCTCCTACAAATAGAAATTCAATGCTTACACAAAGTTCAACGCAATCTTGTTGTTCTCACCTCACGACATACTGTACACCGTTCTTTGCGATCCAAGCATCAGTGATATCTGGACCAAATTGACATCCAACACCACGCTTAGAGGGTGCGCGACCCCGCAGCTCTTGTGGATCTGACCTACAAATTCACTACCTCTGCAATGCCGCTTTTTCAATAATCCGGAGAAAGATGGTCATTGTGCGTTCAATCAATTTTCGGAAGGATTTTGCTGATGGAGATTGCGAAAACATTCTGGTATAACCGTGGGAAAGTGTAAGAACAGCTGAAGTTACTTCTGCAGCTTTGACTGGAGACAGTCTTTATAAACTGGCCGTTTCGTCTATTTGCTACTGACTTTGTACCACTGGGGAAATGGACAATAGTGACCTGCATAAGCGTTTGATAGAAAGCAATGTCTGACATGTAGGACAATTTTTTGGGTCACTTACCATAACAAATCGCACATAATTCCTTCATCGGGAGGTTGACGAACTCTATCTGTCTTCCGAATATCGTCCAAAGTTACGTCGTCCTCTTTGAACAGACCTCCGTGACATACCTGAACAAAACCTACGTTCTAGAGCCAAGACAAAAAAACTTTCAGCAAAATTCTTCTGAAGAAAGCAGACGTCTTAGCTTCTTATGAAATGACACCACTATCCGGTCATCACCCGGATTTTTTCCGAGCTGCTTCAGCTGCGTTCAGTTCGAAAGAATTGTAAACTCCACTTTTCTTCACAGTCTATCGTTATATTATCTCATTATCTCTTGCACGCAAACACTGGATAGCATGAACTGACAATACTTCAGTCGCTGACCCTATGACTCATCACTTTAGTACCGTCCGCCATCGCTAAGAAAACGGTCATAACAGTCTCTGTAACTTGAAAAAAAAACTGGGAAAGTAGTGAGAATTTGGGGAAATCAAGGAGGACGGGAGTTAAGATTGTTTGTTTATTGTTCTTACACGGCAAAGCGTGTGGTACAATGAAGACAATTAGTAAACAAAACCAAAACAAGGTAACAACAATGTAAGTGAACGCAAGAAGAAAATAGACAGCGAACAAACGAAAGACAACTATCAACAAAATGAACAATTGCTAATAAGAATCAAACGGGATGTCTATGGGGAGAGGATGCGAGATACTTGTTCAAAGTGGCTTTAAAGGAAGTAATTTTATTGGTTGACCTCCCTGAGGAGAGTACCCTGTGGAACTCCCGGACAGTGCGATTTAAGAAAAAATGCTGTCTAACGTTACGCCTGGCTCGCTGAACCGCAATTTTATTGACTGGGCCCCTAGTGGTGGTCTCACGAATTTCCATTAAAGTGCTTGGCCTAATACCCGTATAACCATGGAAAATCTTAAAGAGCATTATAAGATCAAATTTACGCCTTCTAAGAGAGAGCGGCTCGAGATTCAGGTTGACATTACGTGCTACATTATCGGGGATCCTGTCATAATGAAACCCAACAGATCTTAGAAAGACCTTCCTCGTGAAGCTATTCTGGATCCTTTCCAACAATTTAACGACACGGGCTTTATAGGGGTTAAAAACTACCGTTCCATATTCAAGCAAGGGTCTGATATAGGTCTTAAAAGATGGGGAAAGAGGTTTGTATCAGCTGAATAGATTTTGAGAGGTCGTACTGACACAGCTACCTAACAGATCACGATAATGCACCCTGCTCCCGTGTCGGGGTCTAGAGGCAAATGGTTTACCACGAGGCGCTGTCCGGAATGCTAAACCCCGTGTCGACTCTCGCTCAAGCGAAGCAAGCCTTCTAGCCGCAGGGAACGATAAATTAGTACTAGACTCGTCTGGAAGGATAAGAACACTGACTTGTAACATGCAACTTGCGCCTTCGGAGTTAATTCGGGCGTAGGCCAGATCGCATTCAATAAGTCATGCGATTCTGGATGGAAGTTTGCGTGCCGCATCTCAAAAAGGATCCGTCAAGGGCGAAAACTTTATCCTTTATTTTTATCCTGCTCAAACATGGTACGGACCCCCCTCGCAAGTAAGCAAACAGTTAGTTTTTTTGAACATTACCAGAAAACAGTTTTTGAACATTACCAGAAAACAGTTTCTGAACATTACCAGAAAACTAATTGACACAGACAACAGCTGCCTGGCCACTGCCTCTGGTCATGACGACTGTCTCTGGTCTTGACTAGAGCCCACAGTAATAGTATAAGCAACTTGTACAAAGTCTTCTTGTTTCAGATGATAAAAACTCACGAATATCTTCCTATTGACAAGATGACAGAGAGGGAGCAGACAGAAAATTTCAGTAAAGAAGTCCGCCATCTGTGACGTGTACTTCTTCTTGACTTCCCCTTCGAAACCGTACATCTGAACCAAAATGATACTTAAATACTTGAAAAAAAAATCAAAACGACAAGTGGCTATGGCATTTTCACTCACCTTATTCATAACATCACTTTCATGGTTTCCGCGTGATAAAAAGAAGTGGTTGGGGTAGAGTAACTTATAACTGAACATGGTGAAAATCGTTTCAACACTGAATGAGCCGCGGTCAACAAAATCGCCATTGAAAAGCTGAAACCATTAGTATCACGTTAAAGCATGGCACTGGAGTAGTGGCAGCTGAATGAACTAAAGGACGGCCATAAAAATCCGTCACTACCTTTCCGCGCACAGCTGCATCATTCACTAAGGCAGACCCACTAGAAGAATTCTGTGAATAGATTTAACTTCTTGAAACTCACATAGGGATTGCTTTCCGAGGGAAGGCCATTAATGTCAAATATATTACAGAGATCGTAGAATTGACCATGTATATCACCGCAAATGGTAAAACGCTGCTTAGGAGGCACATCAATTTCAACCAAAGTTGGCTGCTCTTTGAAATACGCATATATGTCCAACAAAATCTGGAATTGAGCACATTGAGCACATAAGTGCCCTACACAAGAAGCGTTAGCTGAACCATACCTTAAACGCATATTTTCTATGAAGTTTTCCCTGCTTTTTGAATGTTGCAATCATTTCGTTGACAAAATCGACGGTAATAACTTCATCCAAATGAGGTCCATCATAATTCTCTTCAACTACTGCAAAGGCTGGTATTACTATACACACCAAATTTATTATTATCACAAATGACTGTTCCACAGTGTATGCTAAACCAGACTAGACGAAGCACAGAGGCCGCTTCGTTAAGCTGAGTCTCCGAAGAAAGGAAAATAAGGTAGAGCGAAGTAAGCAAGAAGGAACGAGAAGGATTGATAGATATCTTAAGGCCTCTGCGAATGCCGAACCAGGCCACTAGCTGGTCGCTTCTCGAACATGGTCACCCCAGTGCACTGACCACGGCGCACCACCCGACGACGCATGAGCAGCAATATCATGCATATACTCTTGAATTAGGTCACCCCATTAAAAAGCGTGGAAGGTTCCATTCAAATAAAACGAAGAGGAAAAGGGTTCAAAAAAAAGTAATTCTTTGACTTCAGGTTGAGCACATTTATCGCGGTGCGATAGGAAACACGATACTTATGCTATGCGACTATATGAGTCAAGGCGCGCTAAAAACGACTGTCAAGCGCCTGAACGCGACACCTGGCCTTCTAAGAGCAGGGCAAAACGTGTAAAGGGACTGTAGGCTGTAGCTTAAGCCAGCTGTGACACGCATTTCTGTAGAAGAGGATGACATGGCTCCTTCCCACACATAATCCAGTCTCCACTCATTTACAGCTCTCATTTCAATTCTTACATTTGCCTTGATTCCTTTTGATTAAAATCATTCTAATCATTTTATTGATTTAATGTATTATTGCCGGGTCGATTGTGGTAGTAGTTGTTAGTGACTTTGTTTAATTACCCAAGTTTGAGATTCCCAATAAATTGGCGTAGTCGAGACGAAGAACAGAAGACAAGAACGCGTGGCAGGGAACAATTTTAGGCTATGGCATTTTCACTCACCTTATTCATAACATCACTTTCATGGTTTCCGCGTGATAAAAAGAAGTGGTTGGGGTAGAGTAACTTATAACTGAACATGGTGAAAATCGTTTCAACACTGAATGAGCCGCGGTCAACAAAATCGCCATTGAAAAGCTGAAACCATTAGTATCACGTTAAAGCATGGCACTGGAGTAGTGGCAGCTGAATGAACTAAAGGACGGCCATAAAAATCCGTCACTACCTTTCCGCGCACAGCTGCATCATTACACTAAGGCAGACCCACTAGAAGAATTCTGTGAATAGATTTAACTTCTTGAAACTCACATAGGGATTGCTTTCCGAGGGAAGGCCATTAATGTCAAATATATTACAGAGATCGTAGAATTGACCATGTATATCACCGCAAATGGTAAAACGCTGCTTAGGAGGCACATCAATTTCAACCAAAGTTGGCTGCTCTTTGAAATACGCATATATGTCCAACAAAATCTGGAATTGAGCACATTGAGCACATAAGTGCCCTACACAAGAAGCGTTAGCTGAACCATACCTTAAACGCATATTTTCTATGAAGTTTTCCCTGCTTTTTGAATGTTGCAATCATTTCGTTGACAAAATCGACGGTAATAACTTCATCCAAATGAGGTCCATCATAATTCTCTTCAACTACTGCAAAGGCTGGTATTACTATACACACCAAATTTATTATTATCACAAATGACTGTTCCACAGTGTATGCTAAACCAGACTAGACGAAGCACAGAGGCCGCTTCGTTAAGCTGAGTCTCCGAAGAAAGGAAAATAAGGTAGAGCGAAGTAAGCAAGAAGGAACGAGAAGGATTGATAGATATCTTAAGGCCTCTGCGAATGCCGAACCAGGCCACTAGCTGGTCGCTTCTCGAACATGGTCACCCCAGTGCACTGACCACGGCGCACCACCCGACGACGCATGAGCAGCAATATCATGCATATACTCTTGAATTAGGTCACCCCATTAAAAAGCGTGGAAGGTTCCATTCAAATAAAACGAAGAGGAAAAGAGTTTAAAAAAGTAATTCTTTGACTTTAGGTTGAGTAGATCTGTCTTTCATCAATAACCCGCTCTCAGTGCCCAAGAGACGGTAAATCACTGGCACCTTTTTTCAACAAGTGCTAGTTGCTGCTGATGCCAATTCCGGCGACGAGAAGACGTTTGTCGTTAGACACTACCTTCTGACCAGAACAGGTGCAATTACATGGCTACAGGATTAAGGATGCTGAACCCAGCTCTCAGTATTGTTCGTCCGAGCACTGCCCAATGATGCGGTTACACGGAGCTTGACAATGTGACGAGCAGTGGTGGCCTTCCTTTAGTTATATGGTACCATGCATTACTCGATCTGACTGCCGAGGAACAGGCAATCGACACCCTGTGACGGTTTTGTTCTCTCTATAGAGCCACTTGAAAGCCATAATGCAGTAATCCATTGCTTTTATGATCATCCGCTTGAACCCGCGTAACATTGTAGACAGAGCTCGGGTTGCTTCTCTTCTGCATTCATAAAAAATTGACGATTGTGAATTTCAGCTCGGAGTTCAAGATGGTCTAGGGCCAGATAGCTTTTCACAGTCGTGAATGACTTCTTAGGCGATGGACATCGTTGCTAGACATAGGCATAGAGTCGGTATGTGTTTCTGCTTTTACAGGAAAATCAGGTGCCCATACGCATACCCTCTTGAAAATCCTCAATTTTGCGGGAATAACTTGGGCAACGGCTGCAGCAAGGATGTCAGTAGCTCGAAAACGGTCCAGCCTTTGTTATTATACGTTCAGCGCCTGACGTGATCGACCTGCTTTTCAGGTGCAGGATCAACATCATGGGGGCCCTCCTCGGCCACAGCCTTTTTCGCTCGTCCTTTTTTGGACTTCAGAACCGAACCTTCCACATTTGTAGGACACTATGCGCAACTATTAGTCCTGCTTACAATAAATTGAGCAGCGCTTTCCTCTTATGACTACTGATTCCACAACCCTCGGTTGGTTTTGACCCCTCGCGTTTCTTTTTAATTTCTCGAGATTTTCTTCTGCGGATAATACAAATTTCACGTAAAACAGCTAAAGGTACGATCTCTCAAAAGATATAGAAGCCCACAGCCACGGCCCCTTTGCTTTCCTGCCATTCCTCTACATATCTCAACGTTTTTGAATGTGATGTGTGACCTAACATTTATATTGTCTGAGTATAAATGAGACTCACTCATAGTGGAAAGATCGATTGATTCAGATATACTTTTCTTGTCATGGTCTACCGATATTGCCTTTTCAAATGCAATCCGCCGCACAATCTTCTGACACTCATCGTGCTTACGTTTTGCATCTGCATCGTTGGGATGGGCACGGACCACTGTAGCATAATCAGCGAGAGCCTTCTTGAATCGAGCCAAAGCCATGTTGGCTGTCGCTCGACGATAATATCCCTGCATTTGAGGAATATGTTATATCGAAGTGAAAAGATATGAGCTAAAGCTAACCTTCATATAAGAAGGATCAATCGAAATAGCGTTATTGGCATCTTCTAACGCACTACCGTACAATTCTTTTTTCAGATAAGCCATACTCCTGGAAAACAGCCTTATTGTAAAAAATAACCAGCACAGCGACCAGAACGTTTTTACCTATTCCCGTACAAAACTGCTGTGGGGTGGTGCTCTATAGCCATGGAATATAACTCTATAGCAACGTCATATGCTTGATCTGAAGTTCAAATAAACTGTGATGGACTCATATTTCCTAGAAAATCAGTAAATAACTGCGAAACACTTGCAGCTGAGACCTTTGAAGAACTGATTTGCTTCCTCCTTTATTTTTGACGCTTTTGCCTCATCACCATCGAGATTCTGGTCGTGAATGCTCTCCAGTACCGTTGCCACTACCTCTTCCACTGATGCCGTCATCTGTGCATGATTAAATTCTGATTGTCACCATTACGAACACTAACCTTTACACGCTTCTGTGGACGGGAGACCACCAGAAATGCCTCATATAGGACTCAATTCTGAACCGCGCTTGTATGTGGACAACGCGAAAAGGTTTGGATGAGTTCCCAGTTGTTGGTGTCAGCTCTTCTTCACTATCACCTCATGCCCACCATTCGAAATGAGGAGAGCGGAACAACCACTCTACCAGAAACATATAGGAATGGAAACTGGGCGTTGCGGTAGCCACTGGGCAGAGCTGTGGTCTCTTCACGAACGACTCGCGCTTCCTTCACGTATTTTCGAACTGCGAAAGTGATACATTCTCCATGCTTGCGAGGAATTAATATTCTCGAAGGATGCGTCTGAGCATTAACTGAGCGCGGGTATGTCTTTAAGTGCTGAGTTCCCGTTTGCTGCAAATCTAAAGCAAGTTGCCCCAACCCCCACCGTTTCATAGCGTCAAAGCAAGTATCAACAAGGTTCAAATCAAAATGCTACCGCAACCCTGTCCAAGACAGCCACGATCGCCACCCTGTCATAATACACGTACTCAATATTTACCCGCTGACGAGAATTTTTATTGGTAGATATACGTAGAGTCGAATGAATTCCACATTCTAGATCACACTTCTCAAAAAATCTTTACTATACAGCCAACCCTTTATTGAACGAGTAAGTGATATTGAACGACTAACTAACTATAACAAACTACAAGTACATCACAGTTTGCGATAAACGGGACACGTAAACTAAAGGCAATGATCATAAAAACAAGTAGCTGATGGGCACCATGCCTGCACTAATGCTGAGAGACGCTGATGACGGAGCGCAAGCTGAAAGGAAATAATACTGACGTAAACTGTTCAGAAACGGCACAGAACAAGCATCAAACTCCAGCATATCGAAAGTAGAGAATTTAATCTTTTTCCACCAACGTACCTTTCTCCTTTGTGTAGGATATCGAAGGCACTGTTTATCTCAGAGAGAGGGAAGCGATGAGTGATGAATTCGTCTAATTTCAATTTCTTTTCCATATAGTCATGGACAAGTTTTGGAACACTGTCGACACTTTTCCATCCTGAACAGTGGTCATCAATGGTTCAACAATGTTACACATGTTCAATGTTACAACGTCAATGGTTCCTTAGGTTGCTAAGGACCGCCCACACATTCCTTTCTTGTAGTGCGCTACGCACCATACCTCAGTGCACAATGATTTGAGAGGACATGCAAATGTGAATGTCTATACTTTCAAACTGAGTTTTTGCACCAACCAACCAATTCGATCTTAAAGACAGAGCCTCACACCAGCTTGAGCAGTGCCACTCGGCAGCTTGATGTCTCAACTTTCGAGCCATCAAGAGACAATGAAGGTGACTCCATCACTGGTTTCCAAAGTCTGAATGCGATATCGAAACTGTTAGATCAACTGCGAGCCGTTCCACCTTGCCAAGGTAACCGATGATCATCTCTATGACCAGTTTTTGTGTATCATCATCTTGATGGACTTCGTTTACTGTAAGCATCAGCACAGTGGTAAGCCATGCGTACGATTGGGCGTTTGAAGCGGTCCAGCTGGCAGCGCAGCCAGCGCGGCCTTGTTCCAACAGTGATGTCATCCTGAGTCGCTACAACTGGCGAAAAATCTGCACTGGCTGCGCTCCAGCCACGTCGCCATCCTGCGCCGTATTGTTTTCGGGGATCACAACTGTATCTACCCTCGGACCCTTCGTGACAGTAATCAAGTGATATGGATGAAGTGTTTAGCATACAGCTTAGGCCTACCCATGTATAATGGTTACAAGAGCATGATGGACTTACAAGGGAAGGATGGTAGGTCGAAGTGGCCATTTGAAATGAAATGTATACCGGCTGAAAGGTCTTCGGACGGGAATTACGAAACCGTCTTCCATATCTGCTGCGGACCTCCCAGAAAGAAGTTACGGAGCTTTTTAGGGGGAGAATATTCGCATTCACTACGAATTGGCGGCGTAAGGCTCAAGAGATCGTGGCAGCATGGCCGAGTGGATACGTCGTAGGGCTCACGGATGCGTGGTCGAGGGTTTGGATCCTTGATGCGTGTGCTCTTTTGCATTTTTTCGAAAGTGGTCCCTGTGCACTTCAAAGCTATTTTGCATATTGCGCCTGATAATGTCGTGACGTAATTTTCCGAACTGATGGAAGCCATTGCGAACGATTTCATAGAGATCACTTCTGGCTGAAGAGATTGTCATACGAGCCGAAAACTTCCAGCAGGTGCGAAACCACTTTGGGATAGACATCTTTCAACACTATGTGAGTAATGAATGAAGGTTTTGCCCATCGCGATCTCCAGCATGATTGCCACATCAACGCCACTTCATATGAAAGCATTTTCCCCACTATACTCATCTTCGTGCACAACTTCGTGCGGCTTCGGATTCGTTTTCCAGTCATGTTATTTGGAGAATGTCATTTTAAGGCAAAATCATCCGTTGCTTTTGTTGTGTATGCTTTTCAAACCAAAGAAAGAAGAAGACAACAGCCAGAAAATGTTCTCCATGGAATCGTTCGCAATGGCTCCATCAGTTCAGAATCATTACGTTACGACATTATCAGGGACAAGAGTTATGCAAAATAGCTTTGAAGTGTATCCACTCGGCCGTGCTGTCTATTGAGTCTTACACCGCCTATTCGTAGTGAATTCGAATATTCTCCCCCTAAAAAGCTCCGTAACTTCTTTCTGGGAGGTCCGCAGCAGATATGGAAGACGGTTTCGTAATTCCCGTCCGAAGACCTTTCAGCCGGTATACATTTCATTTCAAATGGCCACTTCGACCTACCATCCTTCCCTTGTTAGTTCATGCGTTTGAGAACAAAATATGAATTTATTGATTCAAGGGGACTTACCTCCGAAAGCTGAGCCACACCACTTTCTTCCTGTCACTAGCTGGAAAGGACGAGTAGATATTTCCTGTCCGGAAGCAGCCACTCCGATGATACAAGAAACACCCCATCCTTTATGTGCTGCCTCGAGAGCTTGACGCTTAAAAAGAATCATCTTGCAGAACGGAAAGAAGTATCGCAGCCACAGAGATGAGCTGGGAAAACCCGCATGAGCTCACCATCACGTTTACGTCTCCAACGCATTCGAAAGTGTAATCAAACCCTCCATCGAATTGCTCAACCAGCCAAGCTTGCAGAGGCTTGTCAGCCGGCACTGTTTTTGGATTGACACAATCAGTCGCACCAAACTGACGGGCTAAAACGGATACGCAGTAAGAGGTGGGTGAAATCAATCTGAAATTGAGTGACTGGGGGAAGGAACCAACCAGCATCGAATTTGCGTTCTGACACGTCAATAGCCACAATTCTCTTTGCACCAGCTGCTTTAGCACCCATAATCGCGGCAAGGCCCACGGCTCCGAGTCCCCAAACAGCTACGGTGCTGCCTGGTTCCACCTGAAGCAGGTATCGCATTGAATAGGCATGGAACATGAGGCTTAGCAGAGAAAATCAATAGTCGAAGCTTTTACCTTGCACGTCTGGAGCACAGCCCCATAACCAGTAGAAATGCCACAACCTAGCAAGCAAACCTTTTCGAGTGGTGCTTTTGGATCAATCTGGAAGAAGACAGTACTACGGATTTGATAGGAACTGAATGAATGTTAACATCAGACAGAAATCGCCTTCCCACTTTGCATAAGGATATGTCGGCGACAACAGTATACTCAGAGAATGTGGAACATCCCATAAAGTGAAACAACGACTTTCCCTTGCAAGTGAATCTGCTTGTGCCATTGGGCATGACGCCTTTACCTTGCGAGATACTGAAAAAGTTCATATGTTGCAACATGTTGCAAAATGAGCGCTATTCGGCGCAGGGAGGGATTAGGTTACCAGTACTTTACAGATCTTTACAAACAGCTATCGATGAGACCTATCCAAAATGTCTCCAGCCAGCCGAGCTGCGCCGTGAAGTGTGTAAGACGCAGAAGAAAATCGCATCGCTTGATTACGTTGGCATTTTGCGGGGCCAAAAACTGCATCTATTCATTTACGGGCTGGAAGAACAACATGTGTATTAAAAGCAAGTTCTGATATATCATTCTTTACGACATTCATGGCATAGGACGCAGCGGGACACTAGTTCTCAGGTGAGATATAGGGTGTGGGAGAGGAACATCACTGAGGATGACAGGGCCTGATACCGGCTGACAAGACTTAATAGCAGGATTTGACGGTGTCTGATAGAAAGTGATAACAAGTAACAGGGGCTAATAAGGCGAGTTCGCTGTCGTCGTTCTTCTAGTGGCAGAGCTTTCACACTGCCAAATCAGAGAAGATAACGATGCGTGTTGTGAGAGATAGGTTGCGATCAAATCTGAAGAATGAGGGGGTGCAAAGTTCAGGGTGAAGACATGAAGTGTCGGCATATCCCGCATCAGCGTGCACTAACTGAACTGATATTTAATACGGCAAAAGAGAGGGATTCCAGTTAGTCTACCCAAAAATAAGTCAGAACTAAAACACCCAGACATATTAGTTCAAGAAATATATAAACTTGCCGGATCTTCTGACAGAGGTTGGTCTTTGGATTCAAGCAATATTCACATTCCTTGCACTGTGGTACAAACAAAGGGATAACATGGTCCCCTATAATAAGCTTAGAAATCGGAATACTGAAATCAATGCAAATTACTATTGCGTCCGCACCACCAATATAGTATTGAGGGTGCCATGTATATTACTACATGGAAAACAGCAATCTCCTCCACATGACAGTAAAGGAGTCAAGGATAAGTTGTCGTACTCTCTAGGAGGTTTATGGTAATACTCTTCATCACTCACCCTGCTGAAAACCAGTGACACCTTCACCAACACTTTCCACCACGCCGGCACCCTCATGTCCTAGTATAACGGGAAAAATTCCCTCAGGATCATGACCATCAAGTGTGTATGTGTCAGTATGACAGACAGCCGTGTACAGAATCTGAATCAATGGGAAATCAAACACCACATCCAATAGGCTTCACATGCTCCAGAACATTTGCGCTTGAAGTTAACTTTATTTCTGGATCGCTTGTCGTTATATGCATGTTGCAAGAACTCGAAAGTTAACAGCTGTACACGTAGGTAGCCGAGTGCAAAGGGAGGTAGGTAGACAGATAGATGGATAGATAAGAGGTAGGTAGGGCGCGTAGAAAGAGAGAAAGAAAGAGAGAAAGAGCGCGTGAGTGAGCGAGTGAAAGAGTGAGAGAGAGAAAGACAGAGAAAGAGAAAGAGAAAGAGAAAGAAGAAAAGAAAGAGAAAAAGAAAAGAAAAGAAAAGAAAAGAAAAGAAAAGAAAAGAAAAGAAAAGAAAAGAAAAGAAAAGAAAAGAAAAGAAAGAAAGAAAGAAAGAAAGAAAGAAAGAAAGAAAGAAAGAAAGAAAGAAAGAGAGTGCAACGGCAACCAGGAAAAAAACCGCGATCCCATTGTCTAGCGACGTATACGATGCAGCTCGATTCCCGGAAGAGATCAGTCCTGATACGACATACTAAAGGGAAATCCAAGTCTCCCATCGCAATCTGTTTGTGAAGGTCGAACTTAAATCAAATCACAGAACGTGACCGGTGGGAACGTAGAGAAACCGTAGGGATTCCTCCTTGGCGACCGGATCTTTTCGAAAGCGTTGGAGCAGAATGTGGTTTGAATTGGCATGAATACTCCTTGCCTTGAAATGAGAAAAAATAAGGTTCCCATGTGAAAGAACGAAAAAAGCTTTTCCCTTAAGAGCAGTAAACGAAATTTAGGAGCGAATGTGCGCTTACTAAATCACATTCTCGCGAAGAAATGGTTCTACTTCAAAATAAAGCTCCAATCCTTTAAAAAAGGTCTGACCGTCAGTCTTGACATTCGTTTGTGAAAGCACCTATTTCCTCGGGCATCTCACAATCTGAAGTTTTATAACAAAATCGCCTTTCATATGGACCTGAACCAATCCTCTTCCTGCGTGTGAGGTGGGTTTTCCCGCACCCTTTCTGAAAAGCGAGGGGAGAGAGAGAGAGAGGACCAGACGGAGCGTGTGAAGTGGCCCCATAGGCATTTTCTAGAAGGAGAGAGGTCATGCCTTCATCTTTTCGTGCACCTACCCATTTCCTATGGTCCCCAACATTTCCCGCTTTCAGGGCTACGCTAGAAGGGAATTAGGAATATTTGAATTTCTTAGCATGCACCCCTCCTAAAGCAGGCCGTTGCCCGATATGGGCGTGTCCCTTTCATTTTATGCACCTGACCATTTCCTATCGTTCCCCGCATTATCCCAATCCGGACTCTTTTGAAAGGGAATTACGAATTCTTGAAATAAGTAGCTAAGCCCCCCTGTGGGCACTGGCTACGCCCCGCCGACTTTGGGCACGCCCCGCCCAGCCAGTTTATGTGTGTTCCGTACATCTTGGCCCATGCCCTACCCAACCCACCCTTGACCCGCCCCCTCCAACTGGCTCTTCAGGTGATTCCGAATTTCCGGACAGACAGACAGACAGACAGACGGTGCTCCTTATAGATCGTAAGATCCTGTGAATTCTTAGTTACCACTATTTCTTAGACGTTTGTTCCCCCATATCGGCACGGGGCGCCTATAAAAAGGTGTGCTACGCTGATATGAGGCTTCCTGCCACGAGAATGAGGAACTGGAACTTAAGAGTTGGGCTCAGAAATAAATCGTTAAGAATCGAATCTATTATAAACCTACTGGACCACACATAAACCCCTAGTCGGGACGAAGCACATGCTGGAAAAAAGGCCGAGAAAGAAGGCCAAAATGTTGGGAGCAGAAAGTGTAAAGTAGGAACAAATTGTAAGACGTTCGGCACAAAATAAGGAGGGAACCAGTTTAGATGAACAACAAGTAGATAAAAAGGAAACTAACGACCAATGCACACACCTTTATCCTAACTTCGTGAGCTTGCGGTGGTGCCACTTCAATATCTTCAATTGACAGCGGCTTCTTTACTTCCCAGGCTACAGCAGCCTTGCAAGTGATTACCTGGAAAGGAAACCAAAACTGCTTCCATGATAGTAACAAGTAACCTACACACACTATCAAGCAACCTACCTTTCCTTGTGTATCGGACATTTTTCTAGAATAACCTGTAAAAAATACGTTCGAAGCTTACAAATAGTAAATTAAATCTCTCATCTTCAAAAATCAGTGAAAACAGTAGTATTAATGCGAAAATGGGAAGACATAAGAAGTTACTATGGGAACAAGATAACAGGAAGCAGAACAACTTTTGCGAGCAAGGGAAAAACATCCTTCCACAGATTTATAAACATAAAAGACAGAAACGATAGAAATCAACGAACGAAACATCTCAAGATACCTCAAATAAACAAGACAGATTAAAAAAAACAGTCAGCGTTCCATGGTCACCACCCATTCGATATGCGGCGTCTGCGGAAACATATCAACCGGCCTTATCGATGCCACCTTGAATGGTCTGCCAGCATACTTCTTGGAGCTAAAAACATATGGCTGAACCAAGCAATAACGATATTTTCAGTTATTGAATGATACAAAAGAAATGTAATGTTGGTTTGAAAGTCCTGCGACACTATGACCGGAATCGTAGACTGGTTTTTCTTCTACTCGATGAGATATTGAACTGCAAAACTTACGTTGGACGACAAAGATCCACAAGATTCTTCATAGCTGCAGCCGGATCACAAGAGACGAAAACAAGTCGCCGCAAAGTTTCCATCTGAGTAAATATTTGATTGTCAAGGAACTTCAACGTTTGCAGCATCACTTACCATGCGACAACCGAGAACCACTTTGTCATGCACACCACATCTTGGTGGATCCAGTACCCCAACAACGTCCGATTGGACAAGATCAATTCCAGGAGGTAGATGGAACCGCAAAGATGGGAAAACATCTTCCGCTTTTCCAGCAACATAGCGACATCTGAAAGAGAATAGTTCCAGAAGTTGGTTAGTGGGGAATCTTGCCACTCCCAGAATACCTCCCCTTCCATCATTTATTAGTTTTCGCTTACAAACCAAGACTTGACAAAAATCTTTACATAGGTTAATAGTAAAACATTCTGTGTCGATTCGTGTAAGTTGAGGAACGGCGTTCAGTCGCATTATAATGTAATACACTAATCACAACATCTTACAAGGGAGGTCGTTCAGGGCGTGCCCCGCTTTTTCGAAACGGTTTATTGCACTTTGTAGGGCCTTGCCCATGAACCATAAAAGTGGGCTTCGTTTTGGCTGAGCGGCCCCTGGAATGCCAAAAAAGGAGCGAAAAAGAAACCTATGGAAACTGATTGTTTTTGAGCCTCTACGAGCTGTAAACCGCTTGAAACTTTGGGTACTCTCGGAATCGAAGAGAAAAGTAGTCGGGGTATGGGGTCTTACTTGTGGCACGTAATCAAGCGTGAACGGCTTCATGGAATGGTTTCTTCAACGATCGGAGGAATGTTCAGCAACAACGATCGGATGGCCTAGTGGATAGCGTGAAGGATTCTCAAGCGGACAGTTGGGGTGGGGTTGATGGTTCGACTCCCCTCGGCGTGCGAGTTTTTGCATTTTTTATGTTTTGCTGTTTTCGCGTTCAAATATGTCTGTGCGTGAGTATGCGTTCGATAACTGCCATTTATGGGCACATTTTAAATGGGAACACTCCATGAATCAGTGCTATTCAATTATTACAGGTTTTACATACCATTAAGCAAGACCGTAATTGAAAGTTGACCTTTATAGGTCAGACCATGCCCGAATCACGAATATGGAACTTATTTGTAGCTACGGTGCCATTTATCGCTAATATGGAGTGACATGTTTCTCCCAATGAATGCGTTTGCTACACACAAGTAAGGGATGTGTAGCGCTACCCAGGCGCCAAATTACGTCGGCGCCGAAAATAAGTGTGAAAATCATGATCGGGGCCATCGATTACCCCTGTAAACAATCTTTCGGCCAAAAAAATTTTTTTCGACTTTTTTGGGTGTGTGCGTTGGGTTGTGCCCGACAGTCTTTCTATAGAAGTCTACAGTGCCTCGCCATAGGGACCCCCTATTTTATTAATATCCAAAGATAAAAGTAACAATGCCGATGAAATTCATGCAAAGAGGAAGGAAAGGGAGGCATTCCACCAGGTTTGCTGTCCTGCCCGGCGGCCTGCTACGTCGTCGTTCCATCATCGTCTTTACGAAGATGGGATACTCCGGTCACCACTGCCGACCAAATGGTCCACCAAAACCCAAAAAATCGAAAAAAATTTTTTGGCTGGAAGTTCGTCCATAAGGGTAATCGATGGTCCTGATTACGATTTTGACACTTATTTTCGACGTCGACGCAATTTGGCGCCAGTATAGCGCTTAACGTCCCTCATATGGGGGTACATAGACGTACCTTTCGCTCCTTTTTTGGCGTTCCTGGGGCCGCTCAGCCAAAACGAAGCCCACTTTTATGGTTCATGGGCAAGGCCCTACAAAGTGCAATAAACCGTTTCGAAAAAGCGGGGCACGCCCTGAACGACCTTCCTGCTTAGTAACCAATACTTCAATGTTAGTTTATCAGGAGCTACCTTCCTTTCTTTTGGCCCATTAGGTCACATGATACTCGTTATAGAATCTGGTAAACTTGTACGTTCATTCATTTAATGCGTTCATTTGATATTCAGACGCATCCTTTCAACATGGTATTCTTGCTCGTAAGGATAGAAGACTTCCTATTTCGCAGCTCGAAAACAAGTAGGGGAAGCGCGACCCGCATGCGCCATAACCCTATTCCCCCGCATCGGCCATGTCGACGCCTATTCATTCAGAACTGCTTCCTGATGGTATCATTATTCCGCCACGAGCTCTCCCCATTTCGAATGGTGCGTGTGAGGTGATTGGGGAAAATAGCCGACACCAACAAGTGCGAATTCGTCCGACACGCCCTTTCTTCGCCTTATGCGCGTACGAGTACCGTTCAACCAGGTTCTATGCGGGGCACTTGCGGCGGCTTTTTTCTACTTTTTCGTCACCTTCGTTTTATTTATCATCTTGCCTTTGAAATTTGAGCCGCATAACTCTATTACTTTGAATACTGTAACTCCACGTGGTGTCCGACGATGTTATATTACTCTTTATGACTTACATGTCATCTCCTAATCCATTGCCCTTGGCATTTTCTTTAGCATCTATTATGGCCGCTTCTACTACATCAATACCAATACAGAATACCTTAACGAGAATACTGAACAATCAAGAAACTGTGATCGCACAATGGAGAATTCGAACCTTATTGTTTTTCTTGAATTCTTTGAGGATACATTGACTAATAGTTCCTGTTCCGCAACAAATATCGAGCAGAACTGTTGGTCGTGCTTCCATACCGTTATTAGCGCCGTCGAGAGGTAACTCATCTGCACCGACTTTGCTCTGAAAAAGGCAGGAGTGGTGGAGGATAATGGTATGGCTTACAGAAAGAGAACCCGTGACCCTGGATATACTACGTAAATGAAAATCATCAAATTTTCTGAATGACAGTGAGGATGGAACAACTGAGCTTGAACAATATTCCGCAATTGCAATTCGCGGACAATACGGTCGGAAACGCTCTAGATAAGGCTCACATGCACTCGAAGAAACAAAACACCGCTGCGCGGGAGTGACAACATAGTCAAAGATGACAGAACGGGAAGATTGGCGCGATGACAGACAGATGCCATGCAGACATTGGGTCCCACACGCAAGTAAAAGAGAGTGCTAGCTATCTTCAGCATTAAAGGGGTGGAGCGGTTTGTAGGGTGGCGATTCCGAACTCATGATTGTTGGTTTGTTTTTGTTGTTTGTTGTTGTTTTTGAGTGTTGTTTTTTGTTTGGTTCAATCTAGTTAGTTTTTTTTCTGTACACACATGAGTCCATCTCATGTAATAAATATATATGATGACCGCAACGAAGTTCAGGCTGCGTTAATACTTTGCGGCAGCGTCCATCAGCAACCATCAGCTGGTAAGTGCTGGTGGACGCTACCATCAGCATCTCGAGGGGCTAAGAAAGTATGGATATCGTTCTAGCATCCACCAGCGTCCTCCAACGTCCCACAGCGACCATCAGCGTCTCGCAGGACCATGAAAGCATGGGTATCCATACTGCGTATAGCAGCATTCACCAGCGACCAGGAGTACGGTAGTGTGTAGCAGTACGGTGCGACTAGACACGCCGCAATTGCAAGTCGCCTAATCAGCTGTCTCTTCCCTCCTACTCCCCATACTGTCTACTCCTGGTCGCAGGTAGGTGATAGAACGATATCCATACTTTTCTATTCCCTCGAGATGCTGGTGAACGGTGGTAGACGTTGCCGTTCGCTGGATCGATATCTATGCCTTCCCCGTCGCTGACGCTGACGGGGGTTCGAAACGGTGGTGGTCGCCGGTAGATGCTGCCGCAAAGTATGAACGCATCCTCACCTTGAAGCCGCGAAAATCGGAGATCAGCTGAGACTGCTGACCGGCCTGCTGGTGCAAGGAGGAAATTCTACCTATCAGGTAATCGCGGAGTAAGTCGAACAAAGATAATCGGCGATACCTTGCCTTCCTGGAGCCTCATTTGTGGATTCATCTAATTTCAAACGCTTGGGGTTGACTTCTTCTGATTCTTTCTTCTCCGTATCAATTGGCGGTGATACTGACAGCGCGAGCCCACAAGCTTCTCCTAGAACATGGATAAAACTTCTGAGGACATTTTGCAAAACAAATGCAACTACTCACCAACAGTGGCATACAATACAGCGGCCGCCTGGCTGTTTGTTTGAAAGAAGGCGGATGGCGAAACACGGAAGCGACACCCCAAAACAGATTCATAGATATATGGAGTTCCTGAAAAAGGCAGGCGGCACTGACCGACTTGACAGACCGCTTGCAGACTTCGCGGTCGCGCGACTGGATGGCTCTTCGGATCGCGCGACCACGACAAGGGGCGCTCCACCGCCAGATAGTGCACCACTACTCAAACTGGCACCATGTCAACACGGCCCAGTTCGAATTCTGCAATTGCGGCGGCGAAGCGCACCCCCCCCCCCCTGCTTCCGCCCGCGTCGCGATTGTGCGGCCCAATCGAACAATTCGATCGCGCGGTCGCTCGATTGGGTCGCACGACCACAACTCGAGGGAGAAGCCTGAACGCGGTCTGAGGAGGGTTGATGAAATTATCAGCGTATGCAAGAAACAACAAGCTCAAGGGCACTAGATGTTCGGTCTCTACAAACCACTGGTCTCTCACTGGAAATTCACAACGAACGCTCACCTCCAATGTGCTCATAGTCGACTTGATCACTGCAATTGGCCAAAGAGTGCCAATATAATGATGTCACCCTGAAGCCGTCCTCCAGGAATGTTGATCTATTCAGAAATCTGGAACATTTTTTAAACTACCCTTGCTTTAAAACAGTCGTATCTTCACAACTAGCACAATGTTGCGGTATCGGCGAATATCGATGGAGATTAAAAACGGACTGACCTCGCAGAGAATTCTTGCTTGAGCTTTTCTTCTTCCGCGGAATTCTCAAAGGGGTTGACAGTGAGGATGAGCATTACATCTCCGCCAAACTGCCGCACAGTAAGCATCTTCCAGACCCCGACGCGAGAAAATTCGTCGAATGGTGGCAAACCTATCAATTGCCATTCAACGCTGAAATTTTCCCTTGCGGAGGCCCGAATGAGACCACAAAAACTTCAGGAAACAGTTCGAACACACCTGACGCTTTCACAAAATCTGTTACTGCTTCGACAATTCTCTTCATGATCGATGTGATGTTATCAACATCACCAATAGGAATGACGTAATGCTCGTTATTGGAGAAACGGCCACCTACAAATCCAACGCACACCTAAACATCAGGCAGTTCCATGTCTGTTTCCAATTGGAAAGGCCCATAAGAAGCACACGACGCACCTGTCCTTCATGCGTCATACCAATGGTGAATTCGCATTTGTTCCGATAGCCTGTCGTCTTTGGCGATGGTCTTATCTGGAAAAGAATGCTCAGATGAAATGCGAAAGAAAGTATGGCGTTTATCTGAGGGGAAATGCGGACCTTCCATCGACTTCTTGCCGACTTCTTCTCTACTTCTATCTTTGCCGTCTGAACCCTCGCACAAATCGCAGTTACGCCACGAATTGCCCTCATACATGTGTTGTAACATTGGAAAAATCACATTCCGCGACTCCCCGATTAGCTAGTAGCAGATTCACCCCCCTTGAGGAAGTCTCCCGGTGCGCAATTTCAGCGGATCCCTCCTTCGCGGCTTCAGACAAGGGCGCTGCGGCCATTGAATGAAGGAACACCACCCTAGGCGTTGCCCCATCCATGTCAAGCTGAGCCATACCAACAGTTCTATGTCTGTACTCATGAACCTGGCTTCATTTGCTCCTGTGTGGAGTCATAAATTGCATTCCACTCATCCCCTTGCTCCGCCACCCGTTGTCTCTCGTCACTAACACACGCAGTAGTGTCTCATTTTCTGAGTGGTAGTCCAACAATGGGCACTCGGGTGTTTTTATCGAATCTGTCGCTTTTTTGTTCAGTTATTCCAATGGTAAGAGTCTATTGTAAGCTACAATCTTTTGCTCAAACCCAATCGAGATGCGGCACGCATTTTACTCCATTCAAATTAAAGTACCTTATTGAAGGGGGGGGGATTAATGACTTGCAGGGCAGTCGTGTACGAACCTGTGTTCATCCTCCCATACGAATCTGGGACAAAGTCGGCGACTTCTGGTACAATGCTTGTGTGGCGTGATTTGGACCGATCCGGGATTTGGCACTCCGGCCGCGCGCGTGGCAAGCTTGTTATTATCACTAAACCACCTCCGCCTCTTTGCACTTTGCTTTTTCAAATTGTATACAGGTAGACCTAGGGACAAACCAGATTTAAGAACACTGGCGATTCCCCCTCCCACCCCACGTACGACTCCGCCTAGTTTTGATAAGAGGCAGCGCCTGAATTACCCCGAAAATGGCTTTATTATTCCAAGTTATATAAGGAAAATGACTGACTTTTCCCTCTCGCTCAGATTCCTAGACGATCAATAATAATTACACATACAGTCCTCATCATTGCGGACCGGTGGGGCGTGTCAGTGCGGCTGCGTTTGGCGCGGTGCCAAAGTCGTTCTGCACCAGTTGTTGAAGCGGGCAAGTGACATTACTGTATTATATCCTTCGTATTACTCGTTTTCTACCACTTTTTGTCGCATACGCGTTTCAAAAAAAGGCTGAGAACGGCTTCAACAGTGTGCACACTCATACTGGCTGACACGCCCCACCGGTCCGCAATGATGAGGACTGTAGATAGAAGAGGCGGGGGTGATGTAATGAGAAGTGGCGCGCCTCGCGCGGTCCTGGATTCAAATCCCGGGTCGATTCTTGCCCAGGGCAACCAAGCCTTCTGCTCTCGCTAAACGGTAAATTGGTACCAGATTCGTCTGGGAGGATAAAACACTGACTTGTACATCGGCTGGCCCCCGCAAGTCATTGTATAGGCCACATCGCATTCAATAAGCCACTACGATTCTGAATGGAAGTAGAATGCGTGCCGCATCCCACAAAGGGATTGATCAACGGCGGGGGCTATTTTTCTCAGATATTTAATAATCTATAATCTTTAAGATCTAGGTAAGAGGGAAAGGCGCGGCAACTGCACAATGGCAAAGAGACTCGGTAAGTCCGTTAGTAACTATGAATTCGTACTTGGACCGCATCAATAGTTACAATTAATAAATGTGTCTTCAGTGATTGAACAACGGGAACAACAGTGCAATGGTAACAGCTCAGATACCGCTTCGAAAAGAACAAATAAACAAGCCGCTCCAATGATCAGAGCTCAGAAAGCGGCGATTAAAGCTAAGATACCTCCTTCACAAGTTTTGCTGGGAGCAGCTGATTTACTTCATCGACATTGGCTTTCCTCATCTCTGCGAGTAATCGTTCGCAAACTCTGAAAATGTTTCGGATAACTCTGAAAGTCGTCACGAAGGCCACACACCTAACAAAGCGATAACAGGAGATCAAAAGGGACCTACTTCAAAGAAGTCCTGGTCTTTTGCAGTAATTGTTCACTGTAGGGGACATCAGCGAGTTTGGTAACACTTTCCCTAGCAGTTCTGACCTTATATGATTCAGCATCTTTGGCTGGAACCTAAAGCGAGCCGAAGAAATCCCAGAAAGTAACAATGGGCCACCAAGTATAGTCTCACAGTCTTTTGCTCAGTCTGGGCAAGTTGAACTTTCAAAACTGTCTTCTTCACTTGCAACCCGTCCAACTTTGAAATGGCTTTCTGCGCATCTTCAGCAGATTTAAAGCTTACATACGCATCGAATTTCATCTGCCGTATCTTCCCAATAGTTATGCCAGATAGATGCCTGGAAAGTGAATAAGAGGTATGGGACAGAAGACCGGTACTAACAAAACTTACTTTTCCAGAAGTTTCTTAAATTGCTTAAAACCAAAATATTTAGGTACTGGCGTGATGTGAATTCTATCTTGGTCCAGACCAGCTGCAAGCTCAACACCAGTCTCATTGCTATCAACACCATCAACATCCTCTGCAGTTGTCTGACTTTCCACGTCCATTGTTCCTGAATATCAAAACAAGGAGACTTATAAAATGACAATGCCACTGGTACAAAAACCACAACCAGTCGGTACGGTACACAAGATTCGGACAGACGTGGAGCATGAAAGGATTTCTGTAAATGCGTACCTTTTTGAAACTTCGACCTCACCGTACTGAAGGTTGTGCCACAACTTCTGAAATTTGGTACTTCCATACTTAAGGCAGTTCAGATCAAAACCATACAGAGGGCAAAATGGCCGTGGATTGAACAATAGTCCGCATTCTCCTTCTCCTTGCGTTAGTCGCGCGCCGTCGCAGGGTTGCTGTTCTTGTTGGGCATTGTTCACAGTTTGCGGAGCCAGCGTTTCTCTGGAACGCAGCGGTTCGGCGAAAAGCTTTTGATACATATCGACTGGCGGTTGGGCGAAGAGTCTGGCGGTTGGGCGAAAGGGTTTTGATACGAATCGACGGGCGTTTCGCCAAACCGCGACGTTTTTCGCCTTCGACGAAACGCTAGCTCGATCGCCCTGGCGTTTTTCGCCAGCGAAATCGATACGCATCTATTGCTTTTCGCCCAACCGCCGAACCGCGGCGGTTCGGCGAAACTAGCGGTTGGCGATTCTCCGATCGATGACTATTTTTTGCTTTTCTCCCAACCGCCTTCGTCAGGGTCGCAGACTGTGAACAATGCCTTAGATGTCGCCACTTGTTCCGATTCACTGCATCTTCTGCCGTGGCATTCACTTCAGTGAAGTCCTTCTTGAAGTCCTTTCATCTCTTTCTTTGGACTGCTCGTGGTCCCTTGCTTTCCGCTTCGAATTCCAATCGCTTCCTTATTGGGTGGTGCTCAGGCCTCCTCAGTACGTGCCCATACCATCGCAGTCGCTGCTCTCGTGCCTTCAGCTGGATCGGAGCCGTCTGTGTGACCGCCTGACGTCCTCGTTTCTGACTCTGTCGAGTCGTGTCCAGCCGCAGGCCCATCTCAGCATCCTCATTTCAGCTGAGTGGAGCTGCCTTTCATGGTTCTTGCAGATAGGCCAGCACTCACTGCCGTAGAGCATTGTAGGCCTTACCACTGCCCGGTACACCTTGCCCTTGAGCGTTCTCGAGCACCGCCGGTCGCAAAGTAGCTCATTTCATCGACGCTATACTGATTCAAGCATTTTTGGTCCGCGCTACCATCACCTGCGATGTCACTCCCCAGGCACAGGAATTCCTCGACCCTTCAAATGCTTTCGCCGTGGCGTTCTACGATTGGTTCAGTGCACTCTTCGCCGCTCAGGAACTTGCCCTTCTACACGTTCAGTCGAAGTCCATTTCCAGTGAGCACATCCTGCCACCTTTTCATTTGTGACTACTCCTTCACTATACGCTCTTAGGGCAGTGTCGTCCGCGTGAAGGATGGTTTCAGTGGTTTGGCTCCTCGATGAGTTTTTTTTTACCATGACTTCTAGAGAGGGGACGAACGAGAACGGGCTCAGGGTGATCCTTGGTGCACCCTAGTGGTGATGTTTACTTCCTTTGTCAGGCCATAAGAGATGCGTACACTTGCTTTAGCCCCTCCGTGCATGTGTTCAGGGCAGGTGTTCTAGAATGTTTCATTCTCTCCAGAGCACAGGCCGAGGGAGGCGGTCGAGTGCCTTCTCAAGGTCCAGAAAGGCTAGGTATCAGGGTCGCTCCTTCTCCCGGTCTGTCTCCATCACCTGTTTGGTTTGGTGGTATTGAGATGGTATTAGTGCAAACAGTCGTGCGCACTGTACGTGGATAATGACGAACTGCTTACTGAATAGAGCAAATCTACTATCCATCTAACACAATCTCCAATAGAAAGCTGTTAGAATCGTGCCCTCATCGCAAATACGATTCCTTACTATTACAGAAATGCATTGCGCAGGCGCTAGTTTGCCGTCGTTACTTTTCGCGTTTAATTCGCTATAAACACGAGGTCATTTCCAGCCATCAGAGTCGGCGACTAGGAAAGTATAGAGATAGCGGTCAGCGAGTGGCAGCGTCTACCAGCGTCCAACAGCGATCAGATAAGGAGTGTAGGAAAGAGGAGGGTAGCAGACTGCTGCTAGTGTGGGGGAAGTGAGAGGTAGCAGCCAGCTGGATCAGGCGACGTGAAATTATGGCATGTGTGACCACGCCCTACTTCTACACAGTACCATACTCCTGGTCGGTGCTGGTCGCTGGTGGACGCTAGTAGACGCTAGATCATATTTCCTCAAGACGCTGACAGTCGATGGTGGACCCTGGTCGATACCCCCACAGAAGCTGGCGGGCACTGGTGGACGTTAGACGCTTGTGGACGCCAGATTGATATCCATACTTTCCTAGTGCCTCGAGACGCGAATGGTGGTTTTCGGACGCTGGTGGACGCTGGCAAAGCCGGTGGATATTGATAGACGCTTTGTTGGGGAGCGTTGCCCGTTCGAACTGGGCTATCTAGTTCTTAGAGCGAATGTTCATCTTCTACAAATTCATTGACTTTCCCGGTATATCAGCGTTTTGTGATGAAACAATTCTAATTTTGCAAGTGTAAACTGTGAATGCCACTACCTAGCTAGGTATGCCGGTAGAGGTTATGGCTTTCCGCACTGCCTGCAACACCTACGCTACCTGTACGCGAGGACCCTTACAAAAGGTTCCCAGAGAGGAATGCGACTGGTAAAAAACATATTTCAGGAATCTCTTCGTTAGAGAGGAGGGATTTGAATCTTCCTTCCTCCGTTTTCATCGATAACGGAGTGTTTCGCTGAAAAGTGTGAGGGACTGAGCAGTTTCCACCAATACCCACGGAATCCAACTCTCCATCGGACTTCCAACTTTCCTAATAGTGGAATGAATCATTCATTCACAGTATATCAATGTGTTGTTAATTTGCTGAATTTGATCATCTCATACTGAACTTTTTTAATAATGGTTAGTTTAATGGCAAACATCCACGCAGTATCGCATTTCTTGAAGCGGCAAGTAGCAATGGAATAGCGATTGCATCTATTCTGATGGCGACGCTTTCAAATTATACCATTGCCCTTCTACCGTCAAAGGATAAAGGATAACATCTTCCCCGTTTATCGATCCGTTCGTGGGATGCGGCACGCATTCTACTTCCATCCAGTATCGTAGTGGCATATTGAATGCGACGGCGCACACAATGACTCCGGGGGCCACAGGGCACATCGTTGTTGGGGAATCCCCAACAGGGGTCGTATTTGGCCGCCAGGAGAGGGGGAGTCGTATTTAGGGTGAGGAAAATTTATTTTGTTGATTTTTCTGCTTCACAAATGTTGTAAAAGGGGTAGGGGGGGGGTCGTACTTGCTCATTGTTGGGAGGGGGGGGGGTTGTACATACTTTCCAGCCTTTCTAGGAGTGCTAGAAGTGGTGGTTGACTTTTTTCCTGTTTTATGTGTACTATATCCCCCGCCCCCCGCTCGACGGCTCGACTCGATGGGGAGGGGCAGAGGGCTGGAGGGGGGGATCGTACCAACCTCCCATCCCCCCCTTACCTCACAAAATAAAGTGGTGGGGGTCAGCCACTGTACAAGTGCTCTTGTCCTCCCAGACAAATCTGGTACCAATTTACCGTGCCCTGAAGGTAGAAGGCTTCGTTGGCCTGGGTGAGAGTCGGCCCGGCTTTGAAAACATGACCGCGCGAGTGGTGAGCTGCCACTTGTCATTACACCATATCCTCCCCACCCTTCTACCGGTACAAATAAATATGTACAAGCGTAGGCAAGATTAGTGTTTACAACGTCAAGGCAGGTCTCATGAATGCGCCTGGGACGTGATATAACTGAAATCAGTCGGGTCGCTTTCAAGAGGGATGCGATGGCAGCTCGCGGACTTCCCGCCAGTAGTGCTTTCTTTTCCGATCATCACTGAATCATTAATTAAATATTAGAGCAAGGCAGATGGAGGCGAGTTTGACCCTCCCTCTTGCTCCGGCTGATGGCGGCGCCACCTAGTAAACTTAGAAGCATTGGGCGCAGAGCACACCATCGTTGTGCAAATCACAACGGAAGGGGTCGTATTTGACCGCGAAGGGGGGGGGGGAGGAGCCGTTATCGAAGGGCCTATTCAGAAATGGGAAAGAGGAGCGATATTCAGATGTGGTGCAGTCATTGAATGATGAACAGTTCATTTATGGTACTTATTGGGAAGAACGCCGCAAAAAAATACCTGATGACCAAGGGAAGCTGCGAGCTCGGAAGTGGGAAATGTAAAGACGAGAAATACGGTCGGCGCCTACGACGACGTTAGGTAGAAGCAAATCTGCTTCTCCAGAGTACCCTATCTGGAAGTCACTTCCAACACCTATGCGTGGGATTCGGATACATAGCGCAATACAGAGGCGATACCAATCGACGGCGATGAGCTGTTTCCTAACAGCATCGGTGGAAAAGATATGTTACAGAAGCATATTCAGGTCATCAAATAAACTGGAAATGGTCTTAGGTCAGAAGTGTAGATTTTCGTGTTGCCAGGAGCCACAACATTTCTTCGACTTGGAATTTCTCAAACTAGTGAGCAGAGAAGAAAAGGCAGATGCTTAACAAAAAAGGAAACCGAAATACTCCCACTATGCTTATCCATGAATTAAGAGGAAGCACTCAGTTGAGTCACAGGATCGACGATGCAGAGCAGTAAAGCACACGGGGCCTCCAACCTTGAGAAGGATGTCAGGAGTTTGTAAACTTTTTGGGGTGGCTAGTTTTGCACGAAATAGCTGTGTCACATGGGTACTCAGAATGACTGAAAACTCTGCAGACTGCGCAGTAAGAGGCTTGTTGAAGAGGAACTGAAAACAAGTAAGTATTGCTGGAAAGGACCGTGGTCTAAAGTAACCGATTGCATGGCTGCCCGATGTGCGATTATTCCGTATACCACTGCAAGAAATGAGTGCGAATAAGTGGAGTGGAGTGGAGAGTGGATCAACTGGGACAAGCTAGACTTTGTAAACTGCAACAGTAGGCGCTTGTTGGGCGATTTGTCCGCAGCCTACGGGGAAAGAGT